CCACTCGTTTTTTGAGTTATTGAAACACGTCCTCACACCGGTGAGGAACTCGACTCTCAGACCAACACCAATCAAGATACAAATGTGTTGTCTAGTAACTCAAGACTCCAGTTTTTTATTAACGTGGCTGTTGTTTAATCTTACGAGGCTCCTTCTTTAGCTAGTGTGTCTGCTGCATCCAAGACCTGAAACCCACTGTAGCGTTATACTATATTTTCGAGCATTTGCAGGCCCACGGAAGATAACGATGCGTATGTTACGATTTGGTAATATTAATCAAGTTTAATCTAAATGTAAGGTATTGGTTGAGATAAAAAAGTCAAGTCACGAGCGGGATTCGAACCCACGATCTTCGGCTAATAGCCGCTGCTCTACCCAACTTTTGAATTTTCCCTCCTTTTTGCCATTTTTCAAATGTCGTGTACTTTATTTGATTCTCGGCGACAAATGAAATGGCCACAGAAGGTTAAAAGTCAGTGTCACGAGCGGGATTCGAAAAAATGGCAAAAAGGAGGGAAAATTCAAATGGTGGGGGTGATGGGAGGTTGGTGTCCGAAGGGATCGATGTCACGATAGCTCAAGTGATAGAGCAGCGGCGAATTTAGCCGAAGGTCGTGGGTTCGAATCCCGCTCGTACACTGACTTTTATACCTCAACCAATACCTTATATAAATATTAATTAATAGAAAGAGGTAATTTTGCCAATCGGACCCCGAAATGTAATAAGTTTAATTAATCAAGATAGTTAAGTTGGCTATGGACATTCAGTGATAGCCATGTTCCATAGAATAAGGTCGGTGAGTTTATTCTTTTATAAATATTGCATTTTTTTGTTCTATCTAAGTATTGCCAGTATGTTTGTGGGGTTCTATTAAGTAAATATACTTGTTTGTTTGTGTTAATTACACTTGATTGTGTTTTTATTTCTTTTATAACGGATATATTATAAACCCTCTTATTTTTACTAAGACTAAATCTATCCGTAATACGTTATTCTCGTAGGCTCAAAGAGCCTTTAGGGCTTCCTGGCTGTCTGATAGTATTGTAATTGTACCACCCTTGACATGTTTGTTATTGATCTCGTATGCACATGTTTTCAATGGCTAGTATTTTCTCTGATATGTCAGAGACGGCTTAGGCTTTATTAGTTATGTTAACTTTGTCTAAAAGTTGGCTTTAATTCAATGCTTTCTTTCCTCTGTCCGATGAATTCTCAGTTCCTTAGTCGCTGCCATCCTTCAGGAGGCGTTCAATCTCATAGGATCATGCTTTGATCATTTTTGATTTGCCAGGCCGTGGACGGCACACCGGGCAGGCGAACAGGCGCCCAGTCAACGGCATTCCACCCACCGGGTAATACCACCTGCATTGAACATTAATGTTTTGCTAGGAGCAGCCGATCTTTCAGAGGGATGTGCACCCCTCTGCTTTCATTTACATGCCACCCAGATCAGAGGTCCTAGTGCTGACCCGAGGTTCGCCAGAAGTGGATACAACCAACCCAAGCCCCGCCCCCACCCACCAGGGCCACGCAACCCGGCTATCCGCTGTGAAATTGTCTGTTGCTTATCCTCACTGCAACTAATTATTAATTATTTCTGGCTTCAAAATTATCGTTGTTTATCGATTTTTTCTTCTTTCGTTTCTTCCCTATCTTATACTCTCCATTCTTCCATAGGTATGCACATATGCGAACGAGCAAGCAGGCGCACACACACACATATATACAGGGTGTGTCATTTTTTGACGCATCATTGGAAAATCACCGTGGGTGAGTTTAAATCTGACTTGAGGCTTATTTCCTTTGATTAATACGTTAATAACAGAAAGTGAGTCAATTTTCGGTGCATCATAGGAAAATCAACGTTGGTGCGTCTAATTATGACTCGGCACATTTTATTTTGTTAGTCTCGAACCAAAAAATAGGCGAGTCACTTTTCGACGCACCATTCGTTACAAATTAGTTTTAGTAGGTTGGAAGTAAAATAAACAAAACCAATATTATTAAAACACTATTCAAACACAATGTAAAAATTAAAAAAAAAATCTTCACAAATTAATTTGATTAAGATTTAAGAATATTTTTTCTGGTAAAGTAAAACAATTAAATAAATGTAACAATCTTCTTTTTTCTGGTAAAGTAAAAAAATTAAATAAATGGAACAATCTCCTTTTTTCTCGTAAAGTAAAAAAATTAAATAAATGTAACAATCTCCTTTTTTCTGGTGAAGTAAAAAATTAAATAAATGGAACAATCTCCTAATTAAATAAATGTAACAATCTTCTTTTTCTGGTAAAGTAAAAAATTAAATAAATGGAACAATCTCCTTTTTTCTGGTAAAGTAAAAAAATTAAATAAATTAAACAATCTCCTTTTTTCTGATAAAGTAAAAAAATTAAATAAATGTAATTATCTCCTTTTTTCTGGTAAAGTAAAAAAATCAAATAAATGTAACAATCTCCTTTTTTCTGGTGAAGTAAAAAATTAAATAAATGGAACAATCTCCTTTTTTTTCTGGTAAACTAAAAAAATTAAATAAATGTAACAATCTCCTTTTTTCTGGTAAAGTAAAAAAATTAAATAAATGTAACTATCTCATTATTTCTGGTAAAGTAAAAAAATTAAATAAATCTCCTTTGTTAGCAAACCAAAATTGTTCAAAATCATTAAAATAATTGTTCGAACAGACCTCCATTTGCTGCAACACAGTAGCCTAGTCTATCGTAAAACGATGATCGGACGAAAAAAATACTCTTAAACCTTAATCAAATTAATTTGTGAAGAATTTTTTTTAAATTTTTACATTGTGTTTGAATAATGTTTTAATAATATTGGTTTTGTTTATTTTCCTTCCAACCTACTAAAACTAATTTGTAACGAATGGTGCGTCGAAAAGTGACTCGCCTATTTTTTGGTACGAGACTAACAAAATAAAATGTGCCGAGTCATAATTAGACGCACCAACGTTGATTTTCCTATGGTGCACCGAAAATTGACTCACTTTCTTTTATTAACGTATTATTCAAAGGAAATAAGTCTCGAGTCAGATTTAAACGCACCCACGTTGATTTTCCAATGGTGCGTCAAAAAATGACACCCTGTATAATTTTTCTGTATCAAACGCGTTGTTCTCAGAAATTCAAAGAGTCTATTGATAACAGGGGATCATCACCAAGAATCCCTTAGCTTGTTGTCCCTCACTTCTCTCCATTCCTCCTGCCACTTCTGCCATATCTTTTCTTTCAAGTGGGAGATAAAATCTGTGACAGGAGTGTACTTAAGTGGGATCCCATCAATAGTGGCCCGTTTTGCAGCAATATCCACCTTGTCGTTGCTCACCGCAGTGTCCTGGAATCCACACGAAAATACTTGTATGCTGGAGAGTCTCAATCGTTCCAGAGTAAGCAATATCTCCTGGACCAGCGGTTGCATAGAGAATCGGTTTTCCATTGCTGTAAGTGCCGATAGGGAGTCTGCGCAGACTAACAACGAGTTGCCTATAGTAGATACTATGTTAAGGCATTTACCAATCGCAGTTAGTTTGGCAGTATAATTATTGCAGACATTTGGCAGGGAGAGCATGTACCCTTTTTGTGGGTCATGAATGCCGCGCTTGTTCCGTTTTCGCTATGTGATCCGTCGGTGAAGGCAAGGGTGTGGCTTGGGAATGTGGCCCTTATTCTTGAAAATTCCTGTCTATATAGGCTTTGTACGGGGCAGTTTGAGAATGAGTTCCAAGTAGCTGTGGGTGTCTTTTAAGAGTACCTTTTATGGTAATAAGGCATGCTACTGAATTTTTTTATGGTAGTTCTCTTGCCTATCATTTGTTCTGGCTTTGACTACCATATGTAACATGAATATGGATCTGGCTATCGTAAGGTATGACCATCAAGGTAATTTTAGGATTTAATTGCTTTGTGCGTCATGCGTTTCTTTGAAGTGGTTAGTCTACTTTGGTCGAAAATATACTTAAGTATGTTTTATTGTTTGATTTCGCAGTGTTAAAATCGTAAGAGTTAATATTTTCTTTGTCACTGGCACATATATAGGAGAGGTTCATATTCCTTGGTGTAGATTTATCATCTTCTCAGTCTTTTAAATTAAATGTTTAAAGAAATTAACTTAACCAAACAATAATTCAGAAATCGTGAGATGCGGAATCGTGTGATGTAGGTTTCAGAAAAACATTTTCTTTATCGTGTCAACGTTTCGACTTTTATTGATATCATCTTCAGGGCCTGGGATTTACAAGCATTGTTCAAATTTAACTGCATTGGTACTATCAATCAGTGCCACAAGAATGGCAAAATTACACAGAAGACAAACACTTTGAGTGAGTAAAATTTAAACAAAGTTTGTAAATCCCAGACCCTGAAGATGATCTCAATAAAGATCGAAACGTTGGTACGATAAAGAAAATGTTTTTCTGAAACCTACATCACACCAGACCGCATCTCACGATTTCTGAATAACTATCGACTAACGGTCACTAATCACCACACATTTAACCAAAAAACTCCAACTGTTGGTAATCAGCCCAATTCCGAGCACAATCAGATTTGATGTATTACGCGTTAGGGTGAATCCCCTTCACACGATGCAAAACTCGTTTCATTGCGAGTGTAAAATAAAAATAAGAAAAAATATTTGTGCCACAAACTCAATTTAATTAAACGGAAAAGACAAAAATTGGGACCTGATCCAAATAAATTATAACAAAACCTTAAAAAAATAAATGTATTCAGATTTGAAAAAAATATGTGATCTTTGGCATACGCAACTAACACCTTGCCATTTACATAAAAAGAGCAGGTGTCTTCAAACAAAATTGAGAGAATCCTTCCTCGTCCTTTCGTAGCTCAACTCGCACTGCTCGATCCTGCTGTTGGGGATTAGCTTATCCTTTGAGATAAGCATCTCATTTTTGAAAATATTGTTATAGATGGTAGGATATTGCATTTTACAGTGAAGTCGACGAGAAATGATTATTTTTTTGCTCTTTGTCATCCGTGTTGTTTTAACACGTGCACCTTCTCTGTGTCTGTCTCTTCCCACCTGAGTCCCAGGTAAATTCATTTAGCTCAAACCGATAAAGTGTCACTTTAAGTATGCCTCCTGAAACCGTTATCGACATCGCCCACGTCATTATGTTTAAACGGGAAATTATCCCTTCACCCTTGACCCTGGCTTTCTCCTGGATCGGCAATCAAAATTTACACTTTTAACATGAATATTCAGCCTATGATCGTCAAACGCTAAGAACATCCGTCGACGTCCGTTTATGGATTCTGCCCGTGTTCTTTCTACAATGGCCTGGCAGGAAATTAAAATTCGAACTAATATTATTCGTACGGGTTCAATTACGGTTTTTATTCCATTTACAAGTACAATAATAGCAGTGGAATACTAAAGTCAAGTAAACCGTGACAAATGTTTTTTATGTAAAGAAGTATGCTACAGTTAATAGCTGCTCTAATGGCTGATGTAACCAAACAATGCCAGCTATGATGCATAAACTGGAATGTTTTTATTTACACAAACAAATAAAAGCTTAATAAGGTTGAAATCTATTACAAGATGCGAACTTTTTATTGGTTTAAAAATTACTCCTGTGAGTACGGCTGATGCAAAAAATTTATGCTGGGAAGATTGGCAGAAACACTGGGCCACAATGATCGACAAATTAAAATAAATGAAACTGTCGGTCAAACCGTGGGCCGTAGAGAGGCTAGGTAAAAACAACCCAGAGAATAGTATTAAGGTTTTTAGTTGAGATAAAAAAGTTAGTGTCACGAGCGGGATTCGAACCCACGATCTTCTGCTAGACACGCCGCTGCTCTACCACTTGAGCTATCGTGACCTCGATCCCCTCGGACATTAACTTCCCATCTCAACCCTACCTTTTGAATTTTCCCTCCTTTTTGCCATTTTTCAAATGTCGTGTAATCTATTTGATTCGTGGGTTCGAATCCCGCTCGAGACACAGACTTTTCTATCTCAACTAAAAACCTTAATTATTTGAAAGATGTTCATTGGTCAAGCGGACCACGAAACTAGTGAATTTAACCAGAGAATAGTGTTGACTCGACTGCGAATAGGCCACACCAGACTGACGCATGGGCATATCCTTATTAACAAAAGGCAACGGAGATATACCCCGTGCTGCGCACAACTAACCGTTCAACATATACTGATCGATTTCTACAATATGTTGCTTTTCTTCTAGTCTCAAAGAGGTATTAAAACACGGCAGTGACGGCAGCAAAAAGTTGATCAAATACCTGAAGCGAATAAATGCATGGCCGCATTTGATGCTTTTCCACACGTGATTTTCCTACCTGAAATTAATGTATACATTAGCGTGAGTGTTGAGTATGTATGGGTGGGTTCTGCCGAAATATACCCACAAAACTAAGTTAGGATGTTTCTGTGAGTATTTCTGTCTTGAATGAATGTATTTATTAGCGTGAGTATGTGGGGTGTGTAGTGGAGGAATTTAGCGTACCTCACATACCGACCAAACTAATTTAGAAAGTTTCTGTCAGTGTTTTGTGACTTGAATGATTTATTAGCGTAAGTATGTGGGGGTGGGTACTGGTGGAATGTAGAATACCTCACAGACCTACTAAACTAGATTACCTTTAGGTATGGTGTTTTTAGAGTGAAAGGGGCGTAATATTAATACCCCAGTCGCTCATCAATTTTTAGCTGTACATTGGTATGAAAGGTTATAATCAGGATTTATTAGCACGACTGAAGTAAGTCCTTCAGCGGAATGACGAGTACCGTGAAATTCGCCAAAATAAGGTTAGGCTTAGTTTGAATGCTTCGGTATCAGTTGTAGAGCCTTTTTACCACGCGTGGAGCAGTAAAAACGAGTAGAAATCAAGTCCCGAAAGTCTAAGAAAGGTCTAATAAACCGCGAGGTTCTGACAATTGCCCGGTAGCTAACCGGCTGAAAAAAATTTCCTACATTTATTTCAAATTTTGACATATTAGTCGGTCAAACGCGTTTCACCTTTTCGCCAACTTCAGTGCTCTTAGTTATTCCGTGGGTTAGGATGATCATATTACTCCAGCAAGAAACTTGAGGAAATTTGAGGTCACGCCGGCCGAAATGATGGTAAACAACCAGGGCCCAGGTTCATCTAAAGCTAGCTAAAGTGGAAAACACACTATGTAGTTAACATTAATTTTATTTTTGTTTTATACATAAGTTAGGTAATAGTAAGGTTAGGAAAAGTGAGAATCGAGCACAATTTGCAAGCCAGAAAGCAGACTACAGTCCTGACGAAGGCTGAGAAAAAGAGACTTGAACCACACTAATCCATAATGTGAGGAGCAGTAGAAGCTGCCATAAAAGTAGTTAGTAGTAATAATAGCAGCGTGTGTTCGACTTGAAAGTCGTCTTGTCCATTACGATTTCTCCTACATCATCTATTACCATATATATATNATTATATACCATCAATCTATCACAATTGGGAACATATGCCTATTTGGCTGTAGACAGATATAGTTAGTACAATTCTTGGGAGGTTTTTGGTAATACACCTTCGGACTAATCAAGCAAAGGACTGTGAACAAGACTCAGTGGAGAAATCTGCCTGATTCTGTATCGAACAGCTAGCTTAGCCAATACGTCATGCACTCTAATTGTATCTATTATTTTGAAATCAGATTCAGTTATATTTTGGATGATGAAGTGAAAAACTAGCATAGGACGATTTGATCTTGAATTCTTCTTGAGGCAAGACGTCTTTCGTAAATCGATCCTGCTTATTATCCTGGAAAATCATCGACCAAAGTACTGTAATTGTAAATTTTCTATTCAATTTTCAGGTAGATCAAATTTTAACAACGAATTTTCCAATCTATTTGGACTAGGTGTAAAGAATTATGGTCTCGAAATGCACAAGGTTTCCAAAGAGTGTCGGTCTCAATTTCAGGATTTTCCATACAAATTTCAACCGAGCTCAAATTATTTTTTTATCACCGTATACTTACATAGGATAACTTGACAATTTTAGTCCTTTTTTATTTTGGCGTCGAATAAAGAAATCTTATGAATAATTAAGAAAATAGGTTGCAATGAATCAGTATCAACATTTCATATATATAAACACTTGAAATATCTACCAAAATTATAGGCTTAAAATGAAATAATGGAAATGGTATTTAGCCTATAAATAATTTTTGATAATTGGCAAACTGTCATGGCGTTGTGAGCCGAATATCGAAGACAATCGCACCAATCATCTCCCATAAAAGTCCATACAATTTAGTAAACTCATGCCATGAAATGATTCGGTCGTAAAACACGTCGATTGACCCCAATTGTTAGCTTATTTGTGACTAAGCAAGCGGTTTAACTTCCTTGTAATTTTAATAGAGCCATCCCAGCGTTACCGGCCTCGCGACCTCCTAAATGACAATGAGAGTAAAAGTAAAATAATTACTGCCGTACAGTAGAGTTCAACGACCAACCTTGGTGGGTGAAACCACTTTTCAATACATTTTTCATGCCATAGTCAATTAAAAAGCCAAGGGCTGCGCTGGGTTTCGAACGCAGAAACGCTAGCGTAACAAATGCGAGTTGGAGCCACAACCACTTGGCCACCGCGTCCCATGACAGTAACAGTGAGGAGTATACTATTGAGTAATTTTTTTATTTTTGTTAATTTTTTTTTTAAATATTACATGTATTGTGTTGGTGCAAAATTAATGCAGATTTGAAAATTACAGGTTCGAGTCATGTAAACAAAACTAAATCCTCAAATCTAATTTATGGATTATAATAAATACTTCACGATTCGTAGATGGCCCCCCGAGAATTTGAGCCGGAAACAAGGATTCGTCCTTACGCGATTAAGAATAGGCCATACGCGGTTGACACACGGACACCTGCTCTTGGGCCAAAGCCCGCGCAGGTGCCCCTTATGCAGAGAAAGGTTGCTCGATGTGTCCCACATAATAGAGGCAGGAAACATGCCATGCCTTGGCTCCTTACAGGGAGCGTGTAGGCACGCCATCCAATGTGAAGATGGTACTCGATCACTGCAGCAAGTTTCACGGTCCCCTGTTCCGCTTTTTAGGAGAAGTTTGTTTTTTTATTGTATATAATATGTCTCATGTGTTGTGTGTCTATATGTTTTGTCTGAGTGAATGTATTTATCAGCGTGAATGGCGAGGGGTGAGGGTGAAATATAACGTCATCATCGCCCCTCGAACGTTGAGAGCGTAGGAGTGTGTGTTCGGAGTCGATGGCGGAATAAAAGTACTCCACCGACCCGAATCTAGATTAGTTTGAGTATAGGTCGGTGGAGGAATATCAAGTACTCCACCGACCAAACGAAATGAGTGTACTTATGAATGTATTTATGTGTATGAATGTATTTATTTATATGAATGTAGTGCTTGAAAGGGTAAATAGAATATAGACTTAGTTGGGGGCTAAAATGACCTAGATGTCGGAAGCCCCAGGCAAAAATAAAATAAAATAAAATAAAAATACTTTTAAATGTTATCTTTTATTTTTATCGATTAGGTTTCGTGGTCCGATTATCCAATTAAATTCTTTTTAATTAATTAAGGCATTGGTCAAGATAAAAAAAGTCAAATCTTATAGCTAATATTGAATTTTATAAGAGGGAGGACCTGTGAAATGAAAATGTTTAAACTAGTTTTTCCTCAAATTTATTTGTACGAATTTAAACTTGGGCTAAGTGCAGTCCAAACAGCGCGTTATCAAAACAGTTTGGAGGAGGGAAGCATTAGCGAATGCACTGTGCAGCGATGGTTTCAGAGATTTCTTCTTAAAGATTTCGATCTCGAAGACAGGGAAGATCGCGGTAGGCCTTCTGTGGACGACGGCCATCTCATAACGTTGATTGAAGAAAATTCACGTAAGACAACACGGGAAATTGCGGAAGTGCTTAAGTGTTGACCACTTAAACGCTGTTCGCCATCGGGAGCAAATTGGTAAATAAAGAAGCTCTACAAGTGGGTACTCTACGAACTAACCGAAGCCCAAAGAAATCGCCTTTTGAAATTTGCACGTCTTTTC